TATACTAAAAAGGATAGATTAAATCAGTATTTAGGCTGGTTTTCTCCTCTGAACTCAAAGTTTAACAGGATTCAAGAAATACCGTCATGGACTTTATTCAAAGAAATTTTAAATTGTTGTGTAGCTTAGACTTCAGATAAATCTGGTATAGAACATTGCCTCCATGCAGCTCTCTTTTCAGAGTATGAACCTGAAACACACAGCTTTAATCACTTGATCTAGATAAGCAATTACACAAGATAATTTCCATAGCTCAACAGTCTGGTGACAAGTGCCTGTAAAAAAAGTTCCACTGTTTTGAATATGGTTTATATGACAACTCTTCTGTTTTATCCAAACCATACCTACAATAACAGATTATCTTGGTATTTCAAAGTTACAAAAGTCCCTGAAGAATCTTCTGGTACAGTTTTTAATCACCTGTTACTACACTGCTTAAATTAGGAACTTATCCAATTTCATTTTCATCAGCAGATTTCTCATTGACTTCAGGTTATCACTCATATTGTTGCTGTAAGAAAAATGCAGTAATCCAGGTCCCTTCCAATCCCTAAAGTTCTGTGATTCTGTGATAAACAAGGAGAGGTTTTTTTATGTAACAAAAAAAACATAATTATTTTTTCCTAAGATTGAATCCTTTGTTTCAAAGTGAAAATATAATGCTTCAGTGCTCTCGTGGTTTAACCCAGCAGGCATCTAAACACTGCACAGTCACTCAGTCACTCAGTCACTCAGTCACTCACTCACTCCTCCCCTCACCAGTGGGGAGGGGGAGAGAATCAGAACAATAAAAGTGAGAAAAACTCATGAGTTGTGATAAAGAACAGTTTAATGATAACACTAATCAATTGTAATAAAAATAGAAACAATGATAATAAAACAATCAAAATTATACTCAGCTCACAGCAGCAGCCACATTGAAAGATATTTAAAGATATTCCTTTGTCTCTAGTGCAGAATCAACAGTGCTGGTGACTTATCTTAAACTGCAAAAACGAGGAAAAATCAAAATATCTCGGTTTAAGATACAAAATTTTAGTTTAGTCTGTTTCTTTTAATCTAAGTAACTTCTCATATTTATGTTCCAATAGGCTTTAAGTAACAATTAGTGTGATTTTTGCCTCATATTCCCCAATCTGGGCTATGATTTTCCCTCATTAACTAGCAACACACTGGGCAGCAGAGAGTAAGGGCATGTTCTGTACTTCAGTTGCAGAAAATTATTTTAAACAGCACGGAAGTCACTACCTATAGTGCCATTTGTAAGTCTACAGTGCACACCAGTGGAACTTAGCGGTATATGCATTTTTTAACTGTTTTCAGTATAATGTAGAATTGCTTCGTAAATATTCCATCTTTCTTAACTTTTAAACCATCAGAAAAAAACACGTCCTTCAGAAATGATAAAGACAGTTATAAAATATTGAGAATGATTTGCAAAGAGGGTAAACAAGAATGTTTTATTGTGCACAATATAGGGTTAAATGAGCATTCTAAAACCTAAAACTTTAACAGTCTTGCTAATTATAATCCTGTGATTACAAACATCAGGGCAACACACCAAGGATTTTGCTCTGTTTTATGAAGAGTCCAAAGACCTAACTAATCAGACTCAGATACACTTTTTGTGTCATTCAAAGTGTAAAATTATTTAATTCATCTGTAAACTAGGCTGTGTCTGACAAAATCATACAGCCCATTTCTACAGATTATTATGAACATTCAACTAGCAACATCAATGATGTCAAGATTTTTCATGTTTTCATGAACTTAAAGATTTCTCTTTTTTTCCTACAAAGATTATTTTAAAAATAAATGTATCTAATGTCAACACCCTCTATTCAATGGTTTTAAAGACTTGATTTTTGCCCTTTTGTGGATTCTCAGGCAAACACAACAATAATGCAGGTGAAATTTTATACTGAGCATTTGCTTCATCCATTTTAAAAATAAGAAAGTGTTTTACAGGTGTGAATAGATTATTTGTAATATAAATGAAAAACAAGGTGTAGGAAATATTACTTTTAGTATTCCACTAAGAGTTGCAAGCTCTTGTAGAAGTAGAACTGAAACCTATGAAACAGACAGTGCATACAAAATGTTTTTGACAACTAGGAAATGTAGACACATAAATCTTAACTTAATATGTAATCTTACGGACTCAATATAGTGTAACAAGATCATAAATAGGTGTCTTCAAAAGCTCCAAATGTATCTAACAATCTCTGACACTGATAGTATTGTTAGGCCAAAATTTCACAATAATTTATAAATCAGGCTCCAGGTAGCACAATACATTTTTCCTGTCAGATTTTCAAATTTTTCACTGACAATAACCTTTTCTGGTGATCCAGAATCTAGTTGTAAATAGTAATATGTAGTAAGTGACATTCACACAAGCATCACCAACACAGAAGTTTTGTTTTTATTTCAATAAAGGAAGAATTATCACTTACAAAAAAGCCACAAATGTAAGTAATTCCATTTACATTAGTCAGGTTCATCAAGATCAATGATTTCCTGTAATTTAAAAACTAGAAAACTAGATGTGTAAATCTTATAAATCTGAGAAGAAAAATGGAATGCTTAAAATATGACCTCCTGTTAGCAATTAAAGCAATTCAGTGTGTTCCCAAGAAAAAAAGCAGCAATACACATACATGTGTATATGCATGCACATATATAAAAATCAGAAACTATCAAACTCCAACTTCGTCTCAGTAAGTTTTTACATCTTGTTTTTCTACTCCTGCTGACAGTGCCATAAAACATAAAGACTACATTTCTGAAGCAAAACAATTAACTAAACCTATCTAAATTTTTTCTGTTGTGCAGAAGTGCAAGCTAAAGAAGACAAGCTAAAATTCCTACTTAATGAGCAAGCAGAAAATAAAGGACTAAAATATGAAGGAACTCAAATATGACAGATAGATGTTAATTTGTTGCTGTTGATGTTCATCTATGAAGGAAATTCAATTTACATATGCACATCATTGTAACTAGATCCTGGAATTCAATAGATTGCTTCCAATCTTCTCCAAAACATGAAAATAAAGCTACTTACTTTTCCTGGATTATTCCAAACCTGAGATGTTTGACTTATAGAAAATTTTAAATTCTATATCATTGTTCTGAAAGCTAAATCTTGAAAGCTGCAGAGCAAGTATTTCTTAGTGTTCTACTAAAGAACCTGGATTGAAATGAACATTTCTTTCCTAATGTCATTCCTACGTAACCAGGTAACGTTCTTAAACTACTCCTTTGTAGGCTTATCTCCTTTATAAAACTGTATTGCTATCTGGCAACAGAACTCCACCAAGAGTTCCCTGCTAAGCTATATCAATCTCCTTACTCATATATCTGTTCTCCTGAGTATTAGGACAGACCTTTGGTGCACTTGGAAGATGCTGTACTTCAAGACCTGCCAGTTTTGGTGAACTCCTTTGCTCACCAGTCAGAGCTGCCGAGGTCTCTACTGTGCAAGCAGCAGTAACCCCAGCTAATGCTGGAGGCTGTGCCATGGAGTGCGCCACTACCGTTGCAGATGTGTCTCATGCTGTCATCAGTTTCCAGCCGTCTCCCACAAGCAAACTACTGGACAAGCCATTGTGTGAGAGACTGAAAGAGTTAATGCCTCAAACATTGTGGCAGGACAGGCTTTGCATAACAATAGCTGCAAGTTCTGCTCTGCAAAAAGAAGAAAAGTGCTGGAAGCTAGGGGTGCAGGGGCGCCTGCCTGCCCAAGGACTCAAGGCAGTTTCAATGTGGGGAAGGGGCTCATGACTACCCCCCCACACACATGGTGGTGTCTGTTCAGCAGCCTTGAGGACCTGGACTGTATAAAAGGCACTGGCTCAGGGAGCCACGCGCAGCGCTCACCATGCACCCACCACCAGAAGATTGCCCTGCCGTCATCATCATCACCGAATCCAAGGGTGGTGATATCTTTATTTATCTTTTTCCTGTCACTCTTTTCTTACAAAAGGCACCCACTAGGAACCCACACTACCAGCCGCTTTTACATTTTCCAAATTGTTAACCTGGAAAAAGAAAAGCGTTGGTCTGTGGTGTTTTAGGAGATGCCTTGGTGGCAGTACAACAGTAAAAAAATATGACCCGACAAGCAGAAGGGGGAGTATCCCTCAAAGATATACATCTTTTTCCTGTCACTCTTTTCTTACAAAAGGCACCGAGTAAGAACCCACCCTACCAACTGCTTTTATGTTTTCCAAATTGTTCACATTAAAACGTTTAATTGATCGTTTAGTGTCGCTCACCTTAATTTAGCCCGAGGGGTTTTACAGAACTTTAGTTGCCACCTCCTGCCTCTGAGGTGGGCCGAGACACCACTGCGCCCCACAACCACACCTGGGACATGTGTGCCAAGCCTGGCAGTTACAGAGCTTTCCACCAGCACCACCTGAATGGGCACTCAGCTCTCTTTAACCAGGAAACACCCGTTTTGGCAGCCTAGATCTCAGGATGCCTCCACTGCCTCTGAGAATGCATTCCCCTTCATTGCCAGGCTGCCATCCCCACCATGCCCACTCAGTAGCCTGGGGGCAATGTCCTCACAGTGGTGGAATGTCCTCACACACCACCTTGCCCTCCATGGGCCTCTTCTTCCTGAACAGAAGTCCAGCTAGACTGCAACTGTGGCTTGATGTACATCAAGGCCACCACTTTCACCGCACATCAGGATGGGGCCTTCCCCGTGCAGTCCTTTCCTGTGAGACTATGGAGTCAACCTAGTGTGCCCCTCACAGCTTCCTAGCAGCAGTGCTGCCAAGACAGCACACAGCAGCTGTACTGAGGCTGGACTTCTCTGCACACCCTGGTCAGGTCCCTTCTCCCAGGCTACAGGGATAAATCAACCATTTATCAACTATTTATCACTGTCATAACCTTAGATATTATTTTATTCTTTGTTACAACACAGGAAACCAGAAATCTCAATTTTGGTTCTTAATCCACGTGATAACAATGTACTGCTAAAATACCTGTTTTGAGCTTTCCAGCTTGGTTTGTCTCAGTTGTTCATATTTCCATTTCCAAAGAAATAATTCATTTTCTATCTTTTCCATTTCTTTTTTGAGAAACATGTTCATTCTGAAAGAAAAGTCAGCATTACATCTTTAGAAGTTGACAACAAATTACTCTGAATTTCCTTTTCATAGTTTGAGTTATATTTTACTGCCTTTGTCAACCATACATCTGCTTTTTATTAATAAATTATATTATCATCATACAATTATTCCAAGAGATTTACCAAAAACAATAGCTAAAGACATCAAAGAAATCCAGTAGTATAGAATTAAAATTTTACATGAAATAAAATTTTGGAATAACCTGAAGAAAACTTGGAAGTGGATCTTAGTTAGTGATTCAGATCACCTAATATGTGGTGACCTAATTGATGTCTGTGTAATTGTTTCTCTCACATCCCTCTTCTCTCTCCACTGCAGGTTCCACAGCAGTTTTTTTTTTTCCTCTTAAATATGTTAACACAGAGACACTACCACCATCGCTGATTGGCTCGGCCTTAGCCAGAGGTGGGTCCATCTTGGAGCAGCTTCAAGCAGCTTCTCATAGGAGCCATCCCTGTAGCCTCTCTCCCATTACCAAAACCTCACTACATAAACCCAATACACCACCTATTTTAACTTCTTATTATCTAATTAAATCACAGAATTACACAGAATGGTTGAGGTTAGAAGGGACCTCTGGAGGTCATCTGGTCTAACCTCCCTGCTCAAGCAGGGTCATCTAGACTTGGTTGCTCAGGACCATGTCCAGATGGCTTTTGAATGTCTCCAAGGATGCGGATTCAGCAGCCTCTCTGGGCAACATATGCCACCCTCAGGTCACCCTCACAGAAAAAAAGTGTTTATTGATGATCAGACAGAGCCTCCTGCATCCATTGTCTAAGTCTACCCATTCAGCCCTAAGCAATTCCTCCTTGATATTGTCAGCTACCAGTATAGTTGGTGAGCTTTTGGATTTTAGACAAGAGAAATGCTTCTAAGTTCAAAGTGGAAGAAATTAAGATTTGAAATTAGAAGACATTTAAATGAGAGCACTAATCAAAAGATGACTGAAGATTGCTACTTTGGGCAAATGATTCTTTAAAGTGCTGAACAACTCATAAGGTCTTTAATTTCCACTCATGTCAGTGGGACCTCAAATCTGTATGTGATATAAACCATAGTGTCCAGTAGAGGATTTTGGTGTGTGATTTTACATTGTAAACCCAACCCTGAAATTCTTTGTAAGTCAAAACATAAACTTTGAGCTCTATTATTTTGTTAGAGCTCCTTTTTTAATTTTGTAAAGCCTGACCTGTGGCTTAAGGGTGTATTGGCATTACTGAAGATAGCCCTAAACATAACGCATGAAGCATAGGTCCTCTGAGCATGAAGATGCAAAACATCTAATGTAGAGATTAGTCAGGTAACTAAGGGCAAGTCCAAACACTGGATCTGCATGAGCTAACTTGACTTTGGAAAGAATGTGGCCACAATTCTGGAGTACTGCATGTAAACCTGAAAAAAACCCATGAAACTGATGAGAAGTCCTCTGCTGAATGAGTAAGACCATACTGACTGCCAAGGTAACCTTTGGCCTTGGGGTTCAAGCTGTCTATGATCCAAGCTTACTTTTGATGCAGCACAGCTGTGTGTCCTTGGCTCAGGTTTAATGAGAAAATTGCTAAGTTGTGAGGAAGAATCTGTGAGAAACTACTTAAGCTAGAGCCATGCAAGATAAGAAAAGTAAAAACGCAAATAAAGTGAGATTGTTGAGATAGTCATTATTAACAGCTCCAGCACCCAGGTGTAAAAATACTGACACGAACAAGTATAAAACCCTGACAGGAAAAACTGGGAAACTGGAGACTCAGCAGAATATGCCTATTCTGGTAAGCAGTGCAGACCAACCCTTTCTGAGCTGACAGATGATAGCCTGTCCAACAAAGACTCATAGGATGTCTCAAGAGAAAGGTGACTATGCTAATGCTTATCCTAGTAACATTATTCCTAGCTATTTATTGTGTGCATTGCAAAAAATATTGCTTCATGCTTTTAAGTTGCATAAATTCTGATTAGAGAACATCTTTGCACATGGGAAATGTTGCTCAAAATGACCTAAAGAGGGAGATGTTATACCAATGTCCACTATTATGTGGAAATCACTGCTCTGTGAGCATTTGCTGCCTGAAGTTGGCACTACCAGATGTTACATGGTGTAGACACGCCATTTCTTACCATGTACCTGTAAATTTATTATGGTATACCACACTCAGTATATATGTAGCGATTAATGGCAAAATCTGTCTCTCTGAAGTACAGTTGCAAATTGGCTAGAGAGGGACATGAAGAAAGAAAGAAAAAAAACAACCAGGAGGTAGAACCAGAGTTTATTAAAATCTTGTTTAAAAAGTCATTAAAAAAACAAGAGCTGAAAAATTATCCTTGTTCTAGAAGGAAAGTTTTATATATGTATTTATACTGTGATTGCTGTTGAAAAATGAAGTACCTAGTACTTTGAATGTTTCAACCAGAGGAAAATGGATATGTGAGGCTTCAATCTTTTAACCTGCGTATATAAATATCAAGACAAGCTGGAAAATTAGGCATTCTAGGACTTTTGCTTCCACAAAAAACTAAATGCTTTTTAGTGAGATAGAACATATCTCTGGTCATCTGCTACAATATGATTCAAATAAAAAAATATTGTATGTTTTCTACAGCTATCTAACTCATATAACAGAGTATAGTAAATACTAGTTAGGAATTATTTTTTTTTTTAATTTTACTTTTTTTACTCAGACTTGTACTATCTATAGGACATTTGTGAAAAAAACTGTCAGAAAAGAGATTCTGCATCACATTGTACCATTACACTCTCTGAACGGAAACTGTTGAACAGATTTGCAGTATGGGGGAATTTTCTTCCTTTTCATTTTCTAATTCACTACAGATGATTCTGAAGTTACAGTCACATAGTGCTTGACGTCTCCTACATCATACATCACATATTGTGTGTTTCCTTGGAAAACCTTTTTGGTGTGATTCAATCTTGCTCAATACTGATCATCTATACAAAACATCAAGGAAATCTTACCGACACAGAGACTCACATGCTAGCATATAGTATGTAATTGACATATGAATTATTTTTGATAGCCAAAATGCAGATTTACTGTTTATGTGAGGTAAATCTGATATGATACAGCAAGCATGCCAAAAGTGTGTTATTTTTTCTCTGTTATCTCCTTTACATATAGATCTTACTATATATTATGAGGTCAAGATTAACAGCATTATGCAGCTGCATTCATGTACATTCAAAAACTGCCTTAAGTCATTCTGCAGTTAGACTTTTTCAAAGTTTGCTGGTAAAGTAATTGTTATCATGCAAAAAAGCACTCCAATAACTGAGCATAACATACATTAGATACCACTGCATTGATACTAAATTGCTAGTAAGTATAATTTTGTAATTAACTGTACATTTTTAATAGTTCTGTATGAACCACTTCTTATTTAAGTGACAGACAAGCCAAGGAAAACAATAAACACACTATTATGAAATATTTACAAAATGAGGAAAACATTGATTTTCAATAATATTAAAAAAAACCCCAAACCCTTATGTTGAATTTTCTCTCTAAATTCTTACAATTACTTGTAAATAGCAATAATAAAGTTTAGAATGAGACCATGTTTGCTATAAATGCAAATATCGCAATATCCATTTTATAAAGCATCTTAAACCCCTTCTTTTTTAATAGAGATTCCCTTCAGTGGGATATTTTTTCCACTTACTCTGTTTCCTTCTGTAAGATTTTCTGCATGTCTGCCAAATGCATATGCAAGACAGAAACATGTATTAAATAATTCTCTGTTGTCTTATCCGTATTGTCCAAACGGTATTTAGGTTCCTCCAAAAAGATGTTGGGAAAGGAATCCGGAGGCTTTGGAGTGATTTTTTTGTTGTGGTAGCTTTGGTCTTTGATTATCTCCACATCCTGAGAGAACATAAAAATATGACACCTTAGAAAAATAAAGGGAAAGTTTAATGTAATTTCTGCAGAGACTACCAAGTCTCTTGTAGACATTTAAGTCACATCAGACACATATTTCATATCTTCTGTTGTTACAAGCTTCATATCCAAAATATTTCTAATGTGACTTTACTAAAGAGATAGATTCCAGTTATCATTAGTTGGCTATAATTACAGTGAAGACAGAATCCTTGAACTAAAAGAAACCAGGAAAGCAATTTACAGACAATATATTGAGAAAACTTACATTCAGAACTCTTAAACTTCTACTGTAAATCACATAGAAGCAGTTGATGGACTAACAGAAGTCTTGTATAAGGACCAAATTTACCTGCATAGCATACCAAATTGGATCCTACTCAGAAACTAAAAGCATTATAATATCTATTTTGAAAATACATTATTTGCATGGAAAACATAAGCAAAACTAAGAACAATAAGAAAAAAATATAAAATACATATTTATTAGGAAGAATTAACATCTCTTACAAACAAGTTTTCTTTAGAAATGTATTTTTTTAGCACTTTTAACGAACTGTGTATAAAAGCTAATCTCATTTTAGCAAATTACCAACAATCTTATTTTATACCACTCGTTCTTTTGAGTCTTTAGAAGAATGCCTGAAATCTACATCAGAAAATACTAGAATCTGTTGACAAGATAAGACTGTTTTCCCTTCATATATACATTTGTCTGCCCCAAAATATGAAAGGCATGTATTTTTTGGCCAAATTTATTCTCAGTACTAACACTATGGTAGGGTTTTTTCATAATTCACAGGATTATAATGTAATTTATGTTTATTACAGAGTGAGTGAAAATTCTGATACATTCATGCCTAGGATCCTGACAATTTTCATTGAACTGGAGTAAAAAATTTCCTATGTCCTACAATGCAGGAAAAAAATATTCCTACATCTACAATGACTGCTATCTATCAGACAAATAATATATATCGTTTTTACATGGTGTTGTCTATGTAGACTATATAATACATGCCAAGGCACAGAATTAAAACTGGTAAAACATAGTTCCATTTTGATTAATATAACTGGTTCCTTTGTATACAACTAGGAGCTGTATTAAACCATACTCGTACTTGGTTCTTTAATTCTGCATAACAACTTATTTGCTCTCCTTATCAAACAAAATATTTTGTGGCTTTCCAGAATAATTTGCCTCACCTCTTCCTGCATTACAGAAGTTGCATTAAGGGAGAATTATTGTATTTTATTTTATTAAATGGTTTTTTTTATTCATTTAGGGAGTATTAAATGAATTTTTCTTTTATTTTATTCATTTATTGTCTAAAATTATATTATTTTATAACAGAGGTAATCTGTTACCTTAAAATATGAGAGTCAGAACAGTGCTCTAAGTCATTGGATATAACAGTCAGCCTCCGTTACTTTAATGTTTAGACGTAGTTGAAAGGTATGAACTGTTTTTCATATTTCTCTATATTAGGAATATTACATGGGTGAAAAAGTAGTTTTACTATTGAATAGATAAGGTAGCATTTTGGTCAAGAACCTTGAAAAACCACAATTCTACATACATATCTATAATCTCCCACTTCTTCAGGAACTAAAATATTTCCCCATTCTTTACCTTCTTTGTGTCTTCTGCCTCAGAAGTCTTGTCAGTTTTGTTCAGTTCTTTCACTGGTTCTTGTTCCAGAAATGTTAGCTGATTTAAGTATTTTTTAATATAAGATATTTCTGAGCAACTGAATTCTGTTTTCCAAGCGGATACATTTTCTAAGTTTTCCTTCTCACTTACTAAATGTAGATTTTTTTTTTTCAGCATACTTAGTTCTTTTACAGCATTGTCTAATTTGATTCTCAATTGTCTTGCTTCCTCTTGGGCTTTATTTCTTTCTGCTCTGACTTTGCTCCATTTCTCCCTCCAGTTAGCGGTACAATCTGACCACCAGTGCATGGTCTTCTCCATTTGGGCAGCTCTGGCTTTGACTTCTTCTAGTTCCTGAATTCTTACTGCTTCAAAAATTTCCCAATCACTGCTGTAATTCATATGCATATATGGATAATGTGATGAATATGGGTAGAAACTTTGAGATGACAGATTTGAATTACAAAGATGGCCACATGATTGGCAATGTCCAGCCAATTGATAAGGTTGTCTTTGCTGGGTCTCAAAAACCAGTTTCTCTTCCATTAGCTTCTGAACAGAGCCTAAATTTGTATTTTGATTCATAATCTAATATCACTCCTAAAAAAAAAAAGACAAAAAAAGACAATAATTTAGGTTCCCTCAATTAAATTATACGAATAACCTCAAACAGTAGTTTATTTTACCTCTATATTGATGAGGTAATAACACTGTTGATGTATTGGAAATGCACTTCATCAACAAGTAATAGCTGTTAAAATATATTTTATGTAATACTCTTTGAGTACAGCATATTCAGACATACTTGTTATTTGATTAGGAATTGTTAACAAAGGAAGTGTCGTTAAATAATTATACTGCTCTCAAAATTTCTTGAGTCTAAAGACATCAAGCAAAAAAAAATATAAAAAAATAATAGATATATATATAAAATGTTTAGTAAGAAGAAAGTATTTGTCTAGAAACACAATCATAGATTCACTTGCCTTCTTTCTCAAACTGTGAAACTTCATACTAGGTAAAACTTACCATATAATTTGCCAACCAAGGAGAAAAAAAAATAATCAAAAAAACAACTAAACTTTGGTTTTTCTTTGTTTCATGAGAAAAATGAAGCATTTTTATAGTGGTCTTCATTTTGCTATTTACATTTCAGAAGCTTTCCAAGAAGTATATTCTTATATAGTTCTTGAAAGGGTAGCACTAGCCTACTGTACTGTATAGCCTACCTCATGTTGATATGACTCTGCTAGTAAATCTTGTTGCGTTCCTTTTCTTTATTTATCTGCTATTACTCATTCAGTTCAGAGGAAAAACAATGTCTCAGAAATTGCTTTCCCACCCCAGTGCTGAGAAAATGTGGACAGTGTGTACAGACTAGTCATGTATACATTCTTGTTTTGCCCTTTGAGTATCTTTAAAAAAACAAAACCAAAAATAAACTAAAAATATTACTTTACCAGTAGAAGAGTAAGTTCTTTAAAGTTAAAAAAAAGTTTCTATATTCCAACATCCATTTTTTCAGCTTTTCAGTGTTTTCCAAGACATTTATTTGTCATTTGTTAGAAGCTTCTGGAGAACTATTGTAGTCAAATATGGGTATGAGAGAAAAGAACAAAAAGGACAGTAAAAGACTCCAACTTCCTTAATGATCACTATCTGATGTACAACCCCCACAACACCACCACACAGATGTAGAACAGCTGCAGCCAAAGCTTGATCAAGGTCTTTTTCTTTCTACTCCCAGAAATTCTTGGGAGAAAAAAAACAACAAGCAACCCTGTTACTCTATTCCAAATAAGATACATCTCTACATACTGTTTATTATATAAAGACAAACACGATGTAAAAAGACTTCCCCATAGAATGGATTCAGAGAGTACAGTTAAATTGTATTTATGAATTCATTGATAAAGCCAAAATGATCCAACTAAATAAATGAAACAGTGAAAAGCCTAGAAAATAGGACTACATTCATTATCTCTGTTTTAATATGCTTTTAGAATACAGCATAAGCACATTAAGCTTCTTTGTTCACCATTTCTTAGAGATAGCAGGGTTGATGCTGCTGATGTAATTCTCACACATACACTTTTTCTAATGAAGTACTAGTCACCTAATAACACACACTATGCTTGCTCAAGGTTTTGATTAAACTTATCTCAGGTGAAAAGAAAGATTTCTTAACTGGAAGATAGTGAAGGGAGATCTCTTACTATCGAACAATTGTTTGCTATTTAATTTTGAAGTAAGATCTGAGGAAACACAATCCATGAAGGCAGCACAGACTGAGATCTACCCCTCTGGGGAGCAGCTCTATGGAAAGGGAATCTGGGAGTCCTGGTGGACAACAGGATCAATATGAATGAAGAGTGTGCTGGCAAAGAAAGCCAACAGGATGCTGGATTGCATCAACATATCACCAGCAGCAATAAAGAAGTCATAATCTCATTTTACTCAGCACTTGTCAGACCACACCTGGAATACTGTGTTCAGTTGTGGTCCCTGCTATGCAAAAAGTATGTGGACAGGCTGGAGAGGGCCCAGAGAAGGGCCACAAAGATGATCAAAGGACTGGGAAGCCTGCCATATGAGGAAAGGCTGAAAGAACTGGATTTATTCAGTGTTAAGAAAAGATGGCTTAGGGGAAAACTTATGACCATGTTCCAGTATTAAAAGGATGGCTACAAAGAAAATGGAGACTCCCACTTTCCCAAGTAGTCACATGGCAAAGACAGGGGTAATGCATATGAGATTCTTCTGGGAGGGTTCTGATTGAAAACAAGAAGAAAATTTCTCACAATGAGAGCAATCAATAATGTCCCCATTGAAGCGGTGGATTCCCCAACATTGGGCACTTTTAAGATTCAGCTGGACAAGGCCATTCTGCCTAGACCATTCTTTTGCCAAGGCCAGACCAGATGTTTCTTGAGGTCCCTTCTAGCCTGGCATTCTATGATTCTAAATTTTATCACTGAAGCATAGAAGAAGTGATGAAGCCAAATTCTGAAAAATAAAAAAATGAAAGTTAACTAAAGTCTATGATTCGCTAAAGGCTTTTCTGATCACTATTTCTTCCATGGGATTTTTTTCTATGCAATTTAACTGAGAAGTATTTTCCCTTACTGAAAACAATAGAGTTGTACAAAAATGCAATGTTTCTTTGAAGTCTTTAAGCAAGGGGCAGAAATGGCCTCTTATCTTAATAAACACCTTATAATTTATTATTACATTTAATATGAGAGAGAATGTGAGTATATAGAATGTGGGAAGCATGATTCATTACTTATTCTGATTTATTTATTTAATAATAAACTCAAGAAAAATAAATCACACTACTGTTTTTAATTTGTTGAATTTCCATTTCACTTTATAGTGAAAAATCATAGTGAAAAATTGACAAGTCTTTTCCGTACAGCCCTGGTTTAACTGCAGTAAAAGGGTGTTTTCTTACTAACATTAATGAAAGTAGGATTCTGTTTTGCAGAAGTGGTGTACTTTCATGACCAGTGTAACCCAGCAAAAATCCACTGCTGCTGAGAAGACAGCTCCTCCTTTCTCACATATGCACCTGCATGTTCTTTACTAAGTAATATTTCCTCTTACTAAAAGAAGTAATCAGATCAAACTGATAACAACATATGCAGCTAGTAATTTTGCAGCTTCATCAATGCCCTCATATTTCATTAGTGGCTGCATAAAACCTAATGTTTCCACAAAACATGGCTTGAAAATATGAGATGGAAAGAAAGTAGGAATGTTCCTTTTGACAGCATCACAGAACTGCATTCAATTTATGTAGCTAGTAGAATTACATAAGTAATATCCAGGGAGAAACTGTCAGGAGTTTGTGGACAAAACAAAAAAAAATAATCTATATATTGTATATAAGATTATACTTGAAATATGGTATTTGACTTTTGTGAGACTGTATGAAACTGATAGCAGAAAATGTACTTCAGTGATGAGTAGAGCAGATTTGCCCTCTTCTGGAGAAACGCCTTGGAAAAGAACTTGTTTTCAGCTAAAGTGAGTTTTTGCCTACAAACTTGCTTTCTTGGCAAACAACTATAATGTATCGTGCTGAACCATTATGGTAACCCTGAACCATTATGATAACCTGTTAGGCTAGTCAGCCTCTATGACCATGGGTGATGAAAGCAGATGAACTATCCTTTAAACTGCCACACATCATTGTAATAGTATTTCTAAACTTCTTTTAAAAAAAAAATACGTTGAAGAAAAATCCTAGAATGTCTATAATTGGACATTTTACTGTAATGTTTATATTTTCTGCAGATATTTGTCACAAACAAATTCATTTAATCAGAAGAATATTATCTTCCTGCGAGTGATAAAACATAAAGCTAATAGCATCAAGGATTAATGCAGCTAGTTTAATATTCATGTCTGCACAGAGCAAATCTGTTGCTAAAGGGTTGTAGAGCAACTCTGATAAAAAGAGTAATAAGAATTCTATTTCAACTGTGAACAAGTAAGACTTGTGCTTGTATCTGTTTTTAAAGAAATAGACTAAAATATTAGTCTTGAAAAGAAGCAATGTGTTAATTATTATAAAAGTGACTGCAATGGTCAGAATGTCAGAGTTCCAGAAGAATGATTAGCATGGGCTTTTTTTACACTTCACAGTAATCTGATTGTCTGTTTCCTCAAAAATAGTGCACTGATAAAAAATCATAATTAAAAAAAGTTTAATGGAAGACTGTTGTAATACTGAATCAGTTGATACTGAATCTTTAATCATCTCTATCGTTGCAAGGATACATTAAGACCTTTTATCTTCTATGGTATATGACCACCTCATATAAAAATAGTTCATGGTAAAATATCAAATATCTACATTGAACTTTGAAAACTCTAATCTATAGAATGTTGCCAATCTTCTGGGGGGAATAAGAATAGTTTCTAAGGTATATGTTAAAGAAAAGAAGAAAGATATGTGTTAATATTGTTACAGACACAGATCTCTAAACAGCAGAAGTTTCACAAGTCTGAAAACTAGGGA